TCAAGGACGTGTTACGCTCGACGCTCCATCGCGAAGAGATCGGCGCGCGTGGTTTCTTATGTCGTGTGCAAGATGACGATACAACATTAATAATAACAAGATTCCTGACGACTTAACGGCGACAGAATATCATAACATCCACAAAACTGCCCCTAGATTATAAACTAATATATATTTATGAGGGTCTCAGTGGGGTTCATCGTTTGCCGTAAAACGGGACGAGAATTTAGCCGGCCAGGCGTAAAAATTGGATGTTAGCAGTAAAAAAATGTTAAACGTAAAAAGTGTTAGCTACGAAAGGGAAAGTCTCAAGATCCCTTGTCAAGACATTTTTGTCTTGTGTTGTTAACTGTTTGGTAATACAGGAAAAGGCTGGGAGACTTAGTATCCGGCAACANATTTTTTTTTTTTTTTTTTTTTCACAGTAATTCAATAAATTTTACCTTTTTTAAAAAAAGAAAATTAGTTTGTAACTTTTGTAAAAATGTTAATTAATTTCTAAGATTTCTGTTAACCGTAAGGAAACTAAATTAACCGTTCGCTGTAAAAAGCCAAAATATTAAGCGTAAAAGTCATCGCCCCATTGACACCCTCCTATTTATCCAATGCAATGCTCCTTTTCATTCGAACTATAGAATATCCTGATTAATGGGGAACATAGTTGAGTTTATACATATGAGATGAAACTTACGTTTACAGGTAGAAATGAACTGCAGATACTGATACCATCAAATCGACCACCCTTTACCTTACAATGCTAACGCTGGAACACAGTCGAGAGAGTGAGTATTCACTATTTAACAATGAATTAGATTATTCGCTCTCGAATACATATAATGATAGAGTGTTCACTCGAGGGCCAATGGGCTGATTGCTTCTTGTGGAAATGTTATGTTCTAAAAAAAGACAAATATCACATGTATATGCCGAGTAATATGCCAGTAAATTAATTTATTCAGTATGTCCGCCGTGTCGGTAAGTAGGTCTATTATGGCGGTTAATTAGCATAACACAGTGTATGGCTGTGGACAACTTGCAATCTGATTGACCCAACAGCCAACTGCATGACTACTGTCAAAAAGTAGAGCAAAGTAAAACTGTCCAAAAACAAGTTGCAAATTCTACTGTTCAAACGTTCTGTTCGTTAATTCTACTGTAATCTTGACCAATTAGCCGCTGAGTTATTCTAAAATAAACAAGGATTTTCACGGTTTGCTTTGACTTTGATCATAGAGCAATTGCCACAAAGGGGAAGAACTACAGTGGAATCCCGCCTTACGGCCACCCCGTTAATGCAGCCACCACATTATTACGACCACTTTATTCTGGCCCGGACAACAGCTCAGTCAGTCACTTTCTTATTTAAAGAACCCGTTTCATACGGCCACCTCGGTATTACGGCCACTTTACTCTGATCCGAACAAGAGCTTAGTCAGACTTTCTTATTCCGTTGGCGACCGGATTAACGGGGTTCCACTGTACCTGTAGTCACTCAGTTTCTTACTGTTAGCGGCGATCTATTTAAGGACGGTGCCTACTAAATACAAAGGTTTTTGCGCCAGGTTAAGACCAGGCGGAAAAAGTAGATCTTTGCAAGGGCTATTGGAATCCACAAAGAAAAATTGGGATAGCCACGCATTTTTTCGAGATAATTAGCCTTGAATCTCAACAAAAATGCTGACATCAGCATTTTCTGAAAAATGAAGGAAAGGATATTTCTACACAGATTTCCTTAGAATTCGCCTTTACATACAGAAATGCTAACACATCTATAACGATCTTAAAACTGCATGATTAAAACTGCATGATAAATGATAACATAAAAACCATTTTTGGTAAGTTTTTTTATAACAAAATCGCTGCAACAGCGCTTTTAGCATGTCTGACAGTCATGTTTGAGAATTTTGATAAATCAACCAGGTGAAGGCAAGATAACAAATCGTGCGAGCCGTGATCAACTGTTCAAGAAGCCTGCATATTGGCTTCGTTTATTCTTTGCATATTTCTCGATCCATAAATGCGTGAAAAACGAACTTGGCCATATTCGAAATATCACGCCATCTTAATTCAGCAAGCTTACTCGACAACCAACATATTTACGCTGATCTTACAGTTAGTCCAATATCTCATTCTTTACTGCAGATCTTGCCCTCTGCAATAGGATGCTTTACATATTTTTAAGTTCAAATTCGAGGGCCCAAACAAACATCACGAGCACTCAGGCTACAGAATAGGCTGTGACTAAGGGAGGTCTCCGGTTATATTCAACTTCATATTAATTTACGCTGTTCAAATATAAAGCCTGCAAACACAGAAAACATTCTTATACTCTAAATAAAGTTATGTATTTCCAGCCATGCTGGTCCAACGTCGCACGGAACTAGAATTAATAACAGAAAGAACAAGGACAGGAAAAAAAAAACCACTTGCAACTGTTTCCTAATATCACACAATGAATATATGTACCTCAAGCGTTTTGTTTGACAGAATGTTTCTTTACATTAAACTTCATCACTATCGTCATCATCGCTGATGGCTTTATCACCGCTGCCAAACCTTTTGGCAAACTCTCTCTCGAAGACATCCATGGAATCAGCATCAATCAGGACAAAGCGAATGTCTTTTAGACTTCCCGGCTTTACAGGATCCTTTCCACCTTCAGAAGTTTTGGTTGGAGCTTCACTGTCCTTTCTCTGCTCTTCTTTGTTACCAGTTTTCTTTCCATCCTCTTTGTTTTGACCAGTCGCTTTTGACCCTTTTTTCTTCGCATCTTCTTTCTTCACCACACTTGGCATTGTGAGGTATTCTTCCACTGCGTTTAGCATGGCAAAAGCGCAAGCGTCTATAGGAGCGCGAAAGATGCCAGAACTAACCGCTGGTACAGCGACAGATGATAAACCAAGCTGCGATGCCAGTTTCAGACTCTCCACACAGGCCTTTTGAAGAAGCTTCATGCTCTTTTTATCGGACTCTCTGTTCCATTCTGGACCAACCGCATGTATGACAAACTTGCATGGTAAACTGCCAGCGGTCGTGTGAACTGCGTCACCAACGTGTAGAAACTGAAAGCCGCGTTCCCTTATTATCTTTTCAGATTCTCTCTGGATTTCAATTCCACCCTTTTGAACAATCGACTTTGCAAGGCCAGCTGCGTGTCTCAAAAATTCATTTGCAGGATTGACGATGGCATCAACTACCTCGCCAGTGATATCACCATAACGAAGGGAGATGGTGATGCCTTTTTCCGTTCGATGAGAAAATGTCTCTATGGAAACCACTTCTGTTGGCACTGTTCCCATTCCTTCAGCGCACAGGGCGGTTTCATACCTGGGCTGTTCGCTCATTCCTCCTTGTACTATCAGCATCACTTGTTGAACGGATGCAGCATCCCCGTACACAACAAAGGGGCCGTTTTCTTGGGGTATGTCTACTATAACTGGGTACTTAGTTGAGACGTACTGCAACAAGGCATTGACTGAACCCTCATCACATCCTGTTAGGTCCATTTCCCGGGTAACCATACCCTGGGAGACAGTCTTAATTAGCATGGAAACCTCGCTGCAAGCTTCGTTGTATCTGGTCAAATCACAGTCATGTTTTGGCTTCAATGTAACTTGAGTACCACCATTTGAAGTGGCGAACTCGACCAGAAATTCCTTAGTGATCTCTTGCAACCTTTCGTTGAAAAACTTGCACATAAAACGAAAGGCAAGTGGATTCATGTTAAAACTCTGTAACTGCATTACTGTAGAAAGCACGCTCCTTTTAGTCTCGCAAGCTTCCAGAAGAACCTTCCCTTCTGGGTTTTCATCCAACGGTGTGGCTATGATTACGCCAGAGGTTTCAACAGCTGAGCTCGCCTCTGCTGCTCCTCCCATCTCGGACGCTCCCATATTTGTTTGTGCTTTGGCCTCCACGGAAAGCTTGCACAGCTCATTTGCAATGCTTTCGTCCTTGATAAAGCAGCTCTTCACAAGACCGTGACATTCATTGATCTGGCTCAATGTGCCATATATCATAAGGCATTTGTCATTGTATTCAAACGAAATACCAACCTCCGCTTTAATCTTCTGCAAAATCTGCTCAGCCTCTTGGAGTTGAATGTTAAAATCAAAGGGATCCAGCATGGCAGTGACTTGAGAAAATACCTAGAGATAATTAGTTTTCAGTTGGTCAGGTGGTAACAATTATAAAAGAACTATGAAATGAGAGTAGTAGGGTAAACTCAAAATAAGAAGAACAGAAAAATTCCCGCATTATTACGAGCGTATAAATTGCTACCGTAGAGCATAGTTGGGCACACAATTAACCGTTTGCTAGGACAGACTATGCTGCGTAATAATTACGCTTGATGTTAGGAACATAATGTGTAAACCTCTAGTTAACAGCCTGGAGAGTTATTTGCTGTTACTAAGCGACAATATGGATCACATGTACACGATATTTTTGGATCACACGTCGAGATNGGGGGGGGGGGGGGGGGGGAGGGGCCTTGGGCCCCCGAAAAAAATTTGACTAGCACGTAATAAAAATATTCAAAAATATAAAAGTAATAATGTTGGGAAACTGTTGGATTCTTTTAGCGTAATAAACACTCTAGTTAACTCTAATTTTTCTTTATAACGTTTTATAACAAATGTCCAAATAGTTCGTGGGGTCTATGTAATAG